AAAAAATTGTAAAGTTTACATAATTTTATTATTGCAAAACGATACGACCAAGGTATCTAATGATTTCAATTAATTTTTTTAATCTTTGACTTTTGACTTTTTTCGTTCAAATTTCTCAGAACAAACAACATTGAAAATTGTTGCTACCGTTTCCAATAATTGAATATTACTTGGACATTTTCTGTATCCTAGGATATTTGCAATGTTGCAACATTGATAAATTTTCTTTGGAGCCAAGAAATGATATCCTAACATCTTCAATAAAGTTTATTTCAATAGACTTTTTACACATTTTTTTAAGGACACCGTCAACTGTATCAAAATCTAGACTTTAAAAATGAAATTATTTTAAAACTGTTAATTATATAGATTTCTCTTTTCTAAAAAGGAAAGTCTATATCTTACTGATAAGAGCACAAATCCAATTTTGGTCTTCGAATTCGTCTTTAATAAAAGATCACTTATAACGTGTGGGTTAACACGGGCGCCTTTTTTTCATCATACTGTATTTTGAATAGAAGAAATATCTTGTTCAACTTATTTTTAAAAGATTAAATTTTGCAAGTAATGGACTAACTTCATTACTACTACAGATTTAACTTTTCCTTCAGAAAATAATTAAAGAGAATTGTATTTACACCTTGATTTATTTTTGAATGAGTTTACGTTGTTATTTGTTTATTGCATTGGGAGCTATTTAAAACATGTTATGGTTACCTAGATTTTGTAATTAGCTGAGTTTAATTTGGTAAGTGTTTGGAAAAAAGTTTTAGACCAAGGAAACAAGTAAGCCGTTATATTAAACGGCGCACTTATATTTTATAGCTTCACATCTCCTACAACATGAGTTTCTCAGTTTCTTTCTGCAACACATGTAGTACATTTTTAAAGTCTTGCCGTTATTTGAATATTCTCCCAACAGGCTTATCTTTATGTTCTTGAAACACGCAAATGTCTAGATCATCCATTGTTGATGTTTTTGAACTTGGAGAGCATTTATAGCGTTTTCTAAAAAAAAAATATTGACGCTAGTTGGGATCTAAACTCGTTTTTGTCGTGTTTTTCGTTGACAACACATTTGGTATCGCATGTTTAGTGATCCATTCTGTCATTTCACAGATATTTATACAAAACAATTTTTGTGGTATCTAGTTTTACTGTGAATTGGACGATTTTGTGTCATTCTGATCAAATTTGTCAGTTGTTTTAAGAATTAGCATGAATTAAAAAAATATGAAGGAAAATAGCTATCTAGCTCTAAGCCATTAATACTGTTATGCATGTATTTTTACATTTTTTATCTTTAACAACACTTAATTAGGGGACTACGAGGTATTAATAGTTTTAATATGTAACAGAAATCAGTTTGGCGTTAGAATTTGAAAGCCCATTCAATTTAGAAACTTTTTTGTCTCTTGTAAATTTTTCGATTTAACTAATAAAATGAAAATGGCGTTGATTTTAAACTTGTCAAATTTCGTTTTAAAACTATTACAATTTTACAAAATTTACAATTTTTCATATCCTTTATAACATCATTATAAAAAATTATAAACAATAACGGAACTAAATTAGACCCTTGCAATTAGACGTGACCTAACATGATTTTTGTCAACATAATAGTTAATAAATGTAGATTTTTTATTCAAAACTAATAAAAAATTAATATCTGTTTTACTGTTTTGGTTCTTTAACTTGCAACCGAGAAATGTACATAAGTTAAAAAAATTTACTCACACAATTTGTTAAAAACACCACTGGGTGTCACTTGATTTGATTTGTATTTTTTTTAACTTGAAAATTATTAAATTTAGGTATAGGGAATGTTAATACAGATCAATGCACAATTAAATTCTCTTCTATTTAGTAAAATAAAAATTGGGGTATTTTATTTATTGAAAAAATTAAGTTATGAGTATTTGAATTATTACAAAAGTAACTTTAAAATTTTGGGATATGCTATTTTTTTTTTTCAAAAGTTGAAAACACCAGAAAAAGGATCTAAGCTTTCTCTTTCAAACGCTAAAAAACGAATTTAAAATGTTAAAAAATGGCAGAGTTACCGGTTTTTAAAGTGGAAGGTGCAAATCCAAAAATTTTTGAAAAACTCCAAATATTTCAAAAACGGCTAAATTTAGGTATAGGGAAAGCTGATAAAAACTCTCTTAAAATAACCCGATTAATCCAAAAACGCAGTAAAAAATATACCTTTCCATTTAAAATAAGAAAGTTGAGACCGACTTCCGGTATAACCGGAAGTGCCGCCATCTTGAAAATATTTTCATTTAATAGGACTTAATGGTTTATGGCTATGTACCAATTTTTAAATAAATACAATTATTCCAACTTCCAATACTTCTAAAGTGGGGTTTAGACGGAACAGCCTGTATATTAATTTGAAATTTTTTGTCCATCTTTTAAAAAAAAAACTATTTTTGGCCATGTTTTATAAAAAAAACTGTACGGAAGATTTTTTTGATTTATTTTTGGCGTAGATTATCTACTTGCCTTACTGTATTTTTTTCATGCAATTCGTATTATACGTTTTTTCATAAAAAATAAAAACTATTGAATTGAAAAAATGAGATAAAAACTCTGTGTTACTGAGTGTATACTTTTTTAATTCAGTAACAACATCCAATTGTAAAAAAAAAAACAATTTTTTTTACTGTATTTCTAAAAAATTCAATTTTTTTTCGTTTGAAAACTTCTTTGAACGGCTGTACACAAGCGACAAATTCTTCTAGTGGTACATTTTGGAACTGACTATAGTCACGCCATCTACGGAACAGTAGAGTAATTAGTTTTGAAAACTGTAATTTTCTGTAAAAATACTAAAAATTACAAAATCTCAAATAAGAATAATAATTTTCAGTGAGGAAAAATAATTTTCATTATATTATAACTAACAGCCATTTTATTATTATCACTGGTTTATTTCAGGCGATTTACGACATGTTGGGGGCCTGTTCGTCGAACCGCCCTGCCGATTCGGCCGAAGAGCGAGCAAAGAACATCTTTGCAAAAATGGACGAGAACAACGACGGCCAATTGACACAAGATGAATTTCTCAAAGGATGCTTGCAGGACGAAGAATTATCGAAAATGTTAGCTCCTTAATGTGCAGCAGCGTGAAAAGAGCCGTTTGCGTTTATCACAAGAAGACTCTTGTCAGATCACGGGTACATTTTCATATACTTTCGAATCGAAACCATCCGAGATTTGTAGTAATGTGCATGAGTTTTTAACATCGATCACATTTATTGCCCCATTTCGGTTGATTTAGCTCTGATTATGGTATCGTTTTATTACGGATTAAGAGGTGAACAATTTTAAAAAATACGACCAAGTAACTAAACTGATTACAGGGTGTTTGATTTGCATGATTTTGACAATGACTGACAATCGATTTCTTATTGGTACTAACACCCTGATAAAGACCAAGTCTTAAATGATAAAAATCTAAAGTCAATTATTTGTAAAGAAGACGTTTTTAGTGCGTTGCAAGGTAGGTAGGTAGTGTGTAGCGATCGAAGTTTGTCGTCAACCGCGTTCGTGTTTCTCATGAGAATAATTTCATTGATTTAGTTCGAAACTGCCATATTTTTCTACGTAGAAACCAGTTTGCGTGATTTTAATCCGTAATAAGAGCATGCCGCTTGAGGTTTGTTTGGGTTACTCTCAACATTTCGAAAGTTATTTTTTTAATTGTTCGATTTGGTAATTAAAAATGTACTTAGAACTTAGACAAATCGGGTGCACAGGTCGGTTTATGGGTGTTTATAATATGGATGTATTTACCATTTTAAGCATATCATGAGTGTTACTCTCCCTGTGTAGTGGCCCATCCGAATTTATGGAGTTACTTATTTGCTCGAAAAAAACTGTAAAAAGTGTTAACTCATTGGCGAATTTTTATGTAATCTATCCATTTATAAAAGTATTTGTTTTTAAATCACATAAATTACTCAATTTTCTTCTAAACACCATAACAATACAGAAATTTTCCGGAAAATTAATAACTGGATTTTTTTGCCACCAAAAATAACCTCAAATATTTAGTAAAATTATATTTTAAACATCAAAAACTAAGACTTACTTACTTGAACTTGATTGGCAAAAACGTGTCATTAATGACGTTTTTGACAATGATTCGAAAAAATTTCTGGAAACAATCAATGCGCTCGGGATATTATAAGTGAAAAAACATGATAGAAAAACTGTTAAAGTCATTAAAAGAAAATTGAAATTTTGTGGCAAAAATAGTGTTTTTTGGACTATTTTTCAAAATGTGTTGTTTTTTCAATGAAATAAGTTGATATTATTGAGAGCAAATTAAGAAATTGACAAATTTACATAAGTAAAAAAATTTTACACACACAATTTTTAAAAACACCAACGGCACATGAAAAAAAATGCAATAATTACACTTTATTTATTATTCACTTTATTTACGACTGTGTTATCGAATTTTCATCGTTTTGGTTGCTTTTTATGTCATGACAAATTTACATGACAATTAATATCGAATTAAGAAATCGGAACATTACAATTTTTTTTATAAGAAAACAAACATTGTATTATACATTTTTTTTCGTACTAAAAAGTTGAAAGCTATCAATTTTAGTGAAAAAACCATCAGTTTATTACAGTTAATTTTCAAATGTACGTATCAAAAAAATTTTTTGTACTTGATTCGATTTGTAGTTTTTTTTTAATTGTGTTGTTTTTTTAATGAAAAAAATTGATATTATTGAGAGCAAATTAAAAAATTATTATTCTGGATAATCAACAATGACTGCTAAGTCTGGAGTTTTTTTTTGCAATTATTGCAAAACTGCTGCTAGTGGAATAAAAAAAACCCTAATGAAATTTTATATTTCTTAATCTCCAATATTGTTTTATGGAAATACAGGGTGTTTTGGAATTGTTAATAAAAACGTATTGATGATTTTTATAAAATAATGAGTTTTTTCTACTAATTTATTTTCAAAAGTGAATAGTTTTTGTTTGTTTATTTATTAAAGGCTACAAATGCAATAGTTTTTTTTTCAACAAATCAAAATTAAATTTCGATAAACAATTTGCATAATTGTTAGTTAAATATATTTTTTTCTAAAAAAATACAAGGTGTTAAATCGGGTGATTCTTTTCTTTTCCATTATTATACAAAATTGTTTTTATTTGCAATATCGTTTTTTGTATTAAAAAAATTCTTAATTTTAGTCAAAAAACCATCAGTTTTTTACAGTTAATTTTCCTATCAAAAAATTTTTTTGTTTATTTATCATTGTACTCGATTTGTATTTTTTTCAAAGTGTGTTGTTTTTTAGTGAAAGAAATTGATATTATTGAGAACAAATTAAAAAATTATTCTGGATAATTAACAATGAATGCTAAATCTGTTTTTTTTTGCAATTATTGGAAAGAAAAAAAAACCCTAATAAAACATTATTTTACCAACTGTAGTATTTTTTGATCTCCAATATTATTTTATGGAAATACAGGGTGTTTTGGAATCGTTAATCAAAACTGGTACTGATATTTTTAAAAAAAAATTTTTTAATTTGTTGTCGTTTTTTTATTTTTTAACAATTCAGTATTTTAAAATATTGATAAACAATTTGCGTAATTGGCGTTCCATTTTTGGATAACTTGTTCGTTATTTAAAAAAAAAATGGTGCTAAATCGGGTGATTTTTTTCCATTATTATACAAAATTGTTTTTAGAAAAGAAAAATAATTCTTGAATGTAGATGTGCTAATATCGAAACACCAAATTTTAATTTTTTGTGTACTTGTTAGAAATTTCATTTTTTTTTGGATTTTTGATAGATTACATAAATGGGCTATTTGATAATTAACAAATATTTAATGATTTTAGTGATAATTAAACACCACAAACACGAAACTTGTTTGGCTTTTTTAAAAAAAATCTCAAATCAGTTTCACTTTTTTAATTTTACTTATTTTCATACTGTGACAAACATTTTTTTAATCTCTCCTGTATTCCCAACCATTTTTATGAAAAACAAGTTGTACTTCCTATGGGGACTGGCTTTTAATAAACTTTACTTCACTAATGTTAAAAAATACGACTTTGTCGTAATATTTCTACTGAAGATGTATCACAAAAAACTTACTTATATTAGAAATGATATTTTCATGGGAAATTCAAAAACCAATTTTATTTTCATAATGGCACAAGTTTTACACTGCCTTGTTGAAATTCCTGTTTTATTTAGCTACATGCTGCCTACAATTTTAGTTCATATCAAAGTAATTAAAAGTGAAAACTAATATCAAACTATTAAAATAAGAAAAGTTAAAGAAAGGGTATTTTCCATCCATGGATCGTACTTTTAACTGATTAAATGAGAGTTGTAATTTTTCCTTAATTAGTTGAAGGTTTCCGTGCATATCACATTGAAATTGGGGACTGAACAGTTTTTTAATAAAAGATTTTGGAGTATTTTCTGAAACCTCTAGTCGATGTAATAAACAATCAAAGTGAAAAGTAGCGTAAAATAATGTTTGTAGGTAGAATAAAAAATTCACTTGCTCTAATATCCTCTCACACACTAGTGTATGAAATTTTCACCATTCCTCTCCATTAAAGTGCTTGCACATTTGATGACAAGATTCTTCCAATTTTTGTACAAGCAAATGTGTAAGTGCATGAAATAGTGCATTTGTAAAAAGTTGCATTCCCTAGGTTAAACAGCGCTTATTTTCTAGAGTTGGTGTTTGTGAGAGCTAATTTTTCATTGAAAAATTAGTTCGTATGCGAAAAATTGTCCTTCTAGTTGATAAAATGCACACTGAAATGATTATTTTCGATTTGTTTTCTTATTACTTCATGTTGAAACAACGTATCATGGCATAAGTAACAAATGTGATACATCATTTAGTGCATATTTGTGAAAGTGTTAGTTGATTATCTATTAATTAATATTTTTCTACTTGCACATATTGTAACATAGGCATAACAACATATTATTCTAGATGTTTACTCTAAGTAAGTTTGTAACGAATGCAAGAAATTTAAGTTTCTTGCATTTGACATATAATATTATGTAGATGGGTAATGATAACGAAGCCAGGAGCAGCTCTCTACGTAAAATTGAATTAATAACACTTATTGATGGCAGATATTCTTTGAATTTTTAACACAAATATGACAATTAAATAATATACGTATTTGGCGAATTTGTTGTTTTTGGTGTGCAAGAAGTGTGTGTGTGTGTGTGGGAGTGAGTGTGTGTGTGTGTGTGGGATTTTGTGTGATTTAAGGGAGATGATCTTAACTCGGTACAGGGAGCGGCACTGAGCTCTTCACGAGACTGGCTGCCAGGCTCAAACCATGGGGAAACAGAACAGCAAACTGAAACCTGAAGTCTTGGAAGATCTTAAACAGAACACAGAATTCTCAGGTGAGTTTTTTTTTCATCTAAAAACACGAAACTTTTTAAATTGCGCACTTGAATGTCTATTAGGCACCCGAAAAAACTCAACTCTACATACATTTCAATTTTGCACTGAACCACGAAATAGTAATTTATTCGGAGAATTATTACAACCCTCAAAAGCAACAGGATTCACAAAAAACCCATTTTGTAACAGTTTCATTGTGTTTTGACAAAAACGAACTAAATCGAGCCAGACACGCTAAAATGAATTTCAATCTAATTTGATAATTTTTCAGTCACTTTTAGCAAAAATTCGAATGTATTTTAAAATAACAAAATAATGTACTTTTTGACCCATTTTAGCAATTTTTTGTTGAGTGAAATATCATTTTGGAAAACAAAACTATATTTCGATTTTTTAACTTGTTTTTGAGAACATTTAGAAATTGAGTTTCTGCATGGCTAAAAAAACGTGTAAAATGCTCAAAAAAATAAAAAAAATAATAGTATCATCATTTTTGACTGAATTTACTACATATATATGAATAATTAAAAAATCAAATTAAAAAGGTAATTTTACTAACATTTGGACGAATACTCGATTTATAAAAATTATTTTAAAATACATTAATTTTCTGCTAGAACTACAGTCACGTTTGTAAAAAATCGCGCACTACTAAATGTCTGTTAGGCACCCGAAAATACTCAACAATACATACATTTCAATTTTGCACTGAACCACTTATTCGGACAATTATTACAACTCGTTATTTTATTTTAATAATTTCTTCAAAAACAACAGGATTTACCAAAAGCCATTTCGTAATAGCTTCATTGTATTTAAGCATGTTTTGACAATATTCTGCAAAGTTTTATTCAGAAACGAACTAAATCGAGCGAGACACGGTAAAATCATATCAATTTCAATCTAATTTGGTAATTTTTCAGTCAGTTTAGCAAAAATTTGAATATATTTTAAAAACGTCCTGAAACATTATAAAATTGCAAAAATAACACTAGTTTTGGCCTAATTTGATAAATTTTCGGTTAGTTTTTAACGAAATTTTGCATAATAGTTCTGTTTGTGGCTAAAAACATACTAAAAGGCTTAGAAATGGACAAAATAATGTACTTTTTGACCCATTTTAGCAAATTTTTTACCTCGTGAGTGAAATATCATTTAGAAAAACAAAACTATCTCTCGATTTTTTAACTTATTTTGAGAAAATTTAGTAACTGAGTTTCTGCGTAGGTAAAAAACGTGCAAAATTCCCAAAAAAATACAAAAAAAATTAGTATCATCATTTTTGTCTGAATTTACAATATCAATAATAAAAAAATAATAAAAAAAATTAAAAAATTAAAAAAGGTAATTTTACTAACATTTGGACGAATACTCGATTTTTAAAAATTATTTTAAAATAGGTACATTAGTTTTCTGCTAGAACTACAGTCACGTTTCTAAAAAAACGCGCACTACTAAATGTCTATTAGGCACCCGAAAATACTCAACAATACACACATTACAATTTTGCACTAAACCACGAAATAGTAATTTATTCGGACATTTTTTTCAACCCTCAAAAACAACAGGATTCACAAAAAACCCATTTCGTAACAGTGTTTTGACAATATCCTGCAAAATCTGGTTCAAAAACGAACTAAATCGAGTAAAATGATATCAATTTCAATCTAATTTGGTAATTTTTCAGTCACTTTTAGCAAAAATTTGAATGTAATACGTGCTGAAACATTTAAAAAATGCAAAAATAATACTAGTTTTGGCCTAATTTGATAAATTTTCGGTTTGTTTTTAACGAAATTTTGCAAAATAGTTATGTTTCTGGCTAAAAACATACTAAAACGCTTAGAAATGGACAAAATAATGTACTTTTTGACCATTTTAACAATTTTTTTACCTTGTTGAGTGAAATATCATTTAGAAAAACAAAACTATCTCTCAATTTTTTAACTCGTTTTTGTTTTTTAATTTAGTAACTGAGTTTGTGCCTGGGTAAAAAACGTGCAAAATGCCCAAAAAATAGTGTCATCATTTTTGACTGAATTTACTATATCAATAATTAAAAAAGGTAATTTTACTAACATTTGGACGAATACTCGGTTTATAAAAATTATTTAAAATATATTAATTTTCTGCTGGCACTACAGTCACGTTTCTAAAAAATCGCGTACTACTAAATGTCTATTAGGCACCCGAAAATACCCGACAATACAAACATTTCAACACAATTTCGCACTGAACCACGAAATAAGTAATTTATTCGGACAATTATTACAACTCATTATTGTAATAATTCTCTCAAAAACAACGGGTGTCACAAAAAACCTATTTCGTAACAGTTTCATTGTGTAATCCCGCCATTCGTAACGTCACAATAATAATAATAATAATACACAGTTCCATGTTCACCATTTTTTTGTGCCTTTTATACCAAGTTGCTCCGTTTAAAAGTCAGACGACGTCAATGAAATTTTGATTTTTTTAAAAAACAATTACATTATTGTTAATTAACACAAACATACATAAAAAACTAAAACCAATTTTTTTTAATACAATTTTAAAAACAATAATAATAAACGGCCAACTTTCGAAATTTTGTCACAATTATTTTTTACTTTAAAACCAAGGCTAATTAATTTTTTTTATAAAATACAAGAATTATTTTGCGACTCAGATTACGTATAACAAAAATATGACTTAAAGAAATCATAACATAACAATTATTTTTTTCAACAAAGTTTGAATTCGTTAATTGATAGAAATGAGAATTTTATGCTTTCTGTTTATTTTTGTATTTTTTAATTTTATGATTGTTGTTCTCAAATACCAATTATTTAAGTGTATTGAGTATTGCATATAATTAAATAAGTTTGATAGAAACAGAAAGCAAATTTTTACTATTAAGTAAGAGTTTTCTTTAATAAAAGTTGTTTTATAACAAAAATAGATTTTCTACGGTAAAATGAGTTTAGTTTTATAACTTTTCATCACAAAAGTACTGGAAACTGGAAATATTAACTGGAATTGAATCTTAAAGTACAAATTCTTTAACATGATTAGAAAGAGTCTATTTTGAAAAGGAGAAACGTTTTAAGCTCTTTTTACCTTCTACTTATTTAATAACCACAATAATATTTTCCTTTTCAACTAACTGATGAATAAGTTTCATGTTTTCATATTTCACTCAAGCTTTAATTAAGTGTTTTTTGTAGATGCTGAGATTCAAGAATGGTACAAAGGATTCCTCAAGGACTGCCCTAGCGGCCACCTTTCCGTCGACGAATTTAAAAAAATCTACGGTAACTTTTTTCCTTACGGTGATGCTAGCAAGTTTGCAGAACATGTATTTCGTACATTTGATGCAAACGGAGATGGCACCATCGATTTCCGGGAGTTTCTATGTGCTCTGTCCGTCACCTCTCGGGGTAAACTAGAACAAAAGCTCAAATGGGCCTTTTCAATGTACGACCTAGACGGTAATGGTTATATATCACGACAAGAGATGCTCGAAATAGTCACGGTGAGGCCACATATAAATATTCATTGTGCGTAGAGTGCGTAGGCAGAGACTCGCTTTCATGGAGCATTTGCTACTTCTTTCGCAAAATTTCATTTATTTCATTGACATTATGAAAATTAAATTAAAAAAATGTTTTAAAGCACTTTTTACTAGCGACCTACATTACCGGCCAAAAACATCACATTTTCACAGTGTTGCCAGCTCAAAACTATTTTCACAAGATAATTTTTTTATTATTGTCTAAGATTCACGGTTTTTACATAAATTTCGCAAATCTGCTCAAAAAAGTGCTTAATTGCTCAAAAAAGACAAACATAAGTAAGGCTATTTTATTTCGTTTAATTCTACACTTTTTTGGCTAGTTTTTAATTAAATTTTGCGAAATACCGAGTGACAAAATTTTTTTTGGCAACATTAAGTTATTAATAATCTTTCTAAATTTGTTATATATAAAAGTTTGACGAAAATGTTAAATTTGGCACCAATGTAAAAAATGACAATCATTTACAGTCACTTGATATTAACGTTCTCACTTGCAAAACATGCTAAAACACTTGAAAAGGACAAAAATAATGATTTAATTTGAGGTTTTTTCTTTTGTTTTAACAAAATCTTGCAATTAACACCATTTTTGTCCATATTTTATATTTTTTTTGTTCTATTTTTTTGGCAAAATTTTACTCAAATGTGCTAAATCGAATGAAACAAACGAAATAACATCAATTTGTTGTGTTTAAGCATGTTTTGACAATATCCTGCAAAATCTGGTCCAAAAATGAGCCAAATACGCTAAAATGATATCAAATCCAATCTAATTTGATATTTTTTCAGTCAGTTTTAGCAAAAATTTGCATGTATTTTAGAAACGTACTGAAACACTTTAAAAATGCAAAAATAATACTAGTTTTGGCCTAATATAATAAATTTTCGGTTTGTTTTTAACGAAATTTTGCAAAATAGTTCTGTTTCTGGCTAAAAACATACCAAAACGCTCAGAAATGGACAAAAAAATGTACTTTTTGACCCATTTTAGCACTTTTTTTACATTGTTGTGTGAAATATCATTTAGAAAAACAAAACTATCTCTCGATTTTTCAACTTGTTTTTGAGAAAATTTAGTAATTGAGTTTCTGCGTGGGTAAAAACGTGCAAAATGTCCAAAAAAATACAATAAAAATAGAATCATCATTTTTGACTGAATTTACTATTTCTTATTTTCAGTTAGTTTGGGTTTTTCAATAATTAAAAAATCAAATTAAAAACGGTAATTTTACTAACATTTGGACGAATTCTCGATTTAAAAAAATTGTTTTGAAATACATTAATTTTCTGCTAGAACTATAGTCACGTTTCTAAAAAATCGCGCACTATTAAATGTGTATTAGGCACCCGAAAATACCCAACATTACAAACATTTCAACACAATTTTGCACTGAACCACGAAATAAGTAATTTATTCGGACAGTTATTACAACTCGTTATTGTAATAATTCCTTCAATAACAACAGGGTTCACAAAAAAAATCATTTTGTAACAGTTTCATTGTGTTTAAGCAAGTTTTGACTAATTTTCGGTTTGTTTTTAACGAAATTTTACAAAATAGTTCTGTTTCTGGCTAAAAACCTACTAAAACGCTCAAAAATGTACAAAATAATGTACTTTTTGACCCATTTTAGCAATTTTTTTAACTTGTTTAATAATTGAGTTGCTGCGTGGGTAAAAAACATGCAAAATGCCCAAAACAATACAAAAAAATAGTGTCATAATTTTTGACTGAATTTACTATTTCAATAATTAAAAAATCTAATTAAAAAAGGTAATTTTACTAACATTTGGACGAATACTCGATATATAAAAAATATTTTAAAATACATTAATTTTCTGCTAGAACTACAGTCACGTATCTAAAAAATCGCGCACTATTAAATGTCTATTAGGCACCCGAAAATACTCAACAATACATACATTTCAATTTTGCCTTGAACCACGAAATAAGTAATTTCTTCAGACAATTATTACAACCCATTATTGTAATAATTCTCTTAAAAACAACAGGATTTACAAAAAATCTATTTCGTAACAGTTTCATTGTAACAGGATTGCGTAATCCCGCCATTCGTAACGTCACAATAATTGGAATAATACACAATTCCACGTTCACCATTTTTTGTGCCTTTTATTCCAAGTTGCTCCGTTTAAAAGTCAGACGAGGTCAATAAAATTTTGATTTTTTGGTTAAAATAATAATTACATTATTGTTAATTAACACAAACATACATAAAAAACTAAAACCAAATCAATAATTAAAAAATCAAATCAAAAAACATTTAGATTTATAAAAATTATTTTAAATTACATTAATTTTCTGCTAGAACTACAATCGCGTTTCTAAAAAATCATCAGAAATTAGAATTTTTTCAAAAGTTTTTTGACCAGATCTGGTAACACTGCATTTTTGCCATGATGTAATAGTTTTCAGGTTAATTTAATTCAAACAATTCGAATAATAAATGGTTTTAATATTTTTTGCAAAAAAGAGTTTTTGTTTTGTAATAAATTCCCGTATATTGGCAATCCTTCGATCGAAATAACATACCAAATGCTCTAAATTCAGACCATAAAATTTTTTTCATGCACGAACCGAATATTTTATCATGCTAGTCTCGCGATCGTTACCCCAATTTGGCTCATTTCGCAGGCAATCTACAAAATGGTGGGGTCGGTAATGAAGATGCCTGAAGATGAGAGTACCCCCGAGAAACGTACCGACAAAATCTTCCGTCAGATGGACCGAAACAAGGACGGCAAATTGAGCCTCGAGGAGTTTATTGAGGGGGCGAAAAGCGATCCTTCCATCGTACGACTCCTACAATGCGACCCCCAAGCGCAGTAGCCTAAGACCGCCTAAATCGGTCACCAGAGACATTTTATCTTAAGTTTTTAACAACCACTCTTGTGTGATCGCGGGGTTTCCGCGCCGACGTCCCGGTTGTCTTCAATTATCCGCGGATTGTTATGCTCACCCTCGCATAGATTTAGTGACAGAATATTTAATCCTAATTTAATTTAGAAATAACCTAAATTTAAGCAGACTATCTACTTGTATTGAATTTCAGTGGCGATCTACAGGCTGTTCCAGATAAGTTCCAACAATCATATTTATCTAAAATTTTGTTCATGGCCATAATGAAAATATTTTCAAGATGGCGGCACTGGAAGTGAATAGCAACTTCGTTAAGTTTTTATTGCGTTTTTGGATTACTCAAGTGATTTTGAGAGAGTTTTTCCGTTTTCAAAATATTTAGACCTTTTTAAAAAAAATGGATTTTATATCTAATTCAGAGATTTTTAAACTTGATAAGAGGCATCTTTTTGGTTAAAAAACTAGCCAAACCGTTCGAAATAGTCAAAAATAATGTCAATTTGGAAGTTATTTGCTGATTTTTCGGCTTCTATTGACAAAATTTTGTAAACTAATGCAATTTTTGACCCAAAACAACCTAAATTATTTTGTCAGAATTTCACTCACTTATTTTTGTTGTGTTTAAGCATGTTCTGACAATATCCTGCAAAATCTGGTTCAAAAACGAACTAAATCGAGCGATAAAATGATATCAAATCCAATCTAATTTGATATTTATTTAGTCAGTTTTAGCAAAAATTTAAATGTATTTGCTTAAACACTATAAAAATGCAAAAATAACACTAGTTTTGGTCTAATTTGATGAATTTTTGGTTTTTGTTTTTAACGAAATTTGGAAAATACTTCTGTTTGTGGCCAAAAATATACTAAAACGCTTAGAAATGGACGAAATAATGTCCTTTTTGACACATTTAGCAATTTTTTTACCTTGTTGAGTGAAATATCATTTAGAAAAACAAAACTATCTCTCGATTTTTCAACTTGTTTTTGAGAAAATTTAGTAATTGAGTTTCTGCGTGGGTAAAAAACGTGCAAAATGCAAGAAAAATACAAAAAAATAGTGTCAATAATTATAGCAAAATTAGATCCAATTAAAGTAAGATAACTCACACTAAACGCTGATTTGTTGTAAAAATTCGATTCAAAATTCAATAATTATTCACGATTTTTTAAATGGGTGGAGTTACTTATCGTTGCTAGGTTTTTGTCGGATTTTGACCAATAAGAAATAAAAACCGGTTTGTTCTCACCTTAGTGGCAATTACGTGAATGCGAAATGATTATTATTGGCCCTTGTAAATGACCAATAAATTAACAAATATGTCCAACCAATCAAATTCAAGATTTTGCAAAAACCACACCGATTGTCAATAAAAAAACTGTTTTAACTTTGAAAAACAGGCAAAAATAATGAATTTAAATTAATTTTTCCAATTAACCACGAAAAATTGTTACATAAGGGACTATTTCGCCAATTTTTTTCTCAGTAAATTCAAAAAAAATGCAGATTAAAAATGATAAATTTAGATTTGTTTCCTCTTAGTATAACGAAATTCGATTTTGTCAAAGTTTA